GCTCGAGCAAAAAACCTTAGGTGGGCTTATCTATTCGTCTGGAAAACTAATGCGGGTCGACGAGCGTTGATAACATTTGCTTCCAGAATGTTTTTTTTTACTTTGCGAATCCAAGATAAAAAATAACGTCTTAGGTTTTTTGCATGCAAAGAAAATTATGTTAAAGTGAAGCCTTTTTAAACAATAACTGGCGTGCTTGCTTTTGTCGATACGAGTTCCGATACTTGCTGGCTTGGAAAAACATGGTTTCCGGTTACTGCGTTATCCTGTTTTGATCGAAATGAAATTCAGTAGCTATTTACGACTAGATATATGTATATGTACAAGTCAGAAAGTGTAGATAATGAAACAGATGTTCAACAAAATTTGTTCAAAAATGGTAGTAGATGGGACCGTTTATTTCTTTTTGGTATTTTTTATGACTCTATTCACTAATTTCGTTTCAACATTCTCGCTATAAAAAGAAGAAAACTCGTAACTTCGGAATGTTTTCACGTTTCGTTGACTAAAGGACGTGGACGGGGCCTGCTGGTTTGTATGAACTGCGGGCCCGTCCCGGCGCCGGCCCGGACACGGACATGTGTGAACGAGTTCATACAAAATATACACAACGATATTTTTTTGAGCCCCTGACGGAGCACGGCCCGTCCACGTCCCGGCCACGGCCCGAGCACTGCCCGGATATGTGTGGATAGACCTTAACTGTCTTGTTCCGGGTGAGAGTTGACGCCAAACGCGATCGAAATGGGATTGGGAACGGAGGAGTGTCCAGAATAAAAGTCCTTGCGTCACAGGGTGAGATAAATTGAGGGAATCAGTCCCTCGGGTGACGGAATGGACACGGGACTGGTCTGAAATGTCACAGGAAAGATCGACGATGCATGGTCTACAGCACATCAAGCGAACAGTCTAGAGCGAAATACATTTTTAAGGTAGCCGTTTTAACGGTGACTGATAACATCTTTATACAATTTAATATAAAAATAATAATATGTATCGAGACCCATTTGTCCGACTATTTCACTACCAACCTACACGAATTGGTGAAGTTCGCCCCCGCTTTTACCCTTTTCCTTTATAAATATTTGGTAAAAAAGGAATGTGTGAAAAACAACGTTTATCGTTGATATTTTTCGTAATATTTTATTTATGCCGTTACAAAAGTAGTGTAAACAAATTTAAGAGCAAGTTGAGTGCTACAAAATGAAGATGCCACTAGAACACGACCAAAATATCAAATGTTCCATAATATATGTTGGCGAACTTCGAAACTAAAAACCATTTATAAACTGTATATTTATTATTTCCCCATAGAAAAGTTGTGTGGTTTCAAAGTAATGAAACTTGAAAATCTTTGTTAATGCGATTTTGCACAGTTTGGTGCACGTGTTTTTCAATTAAACGATTCCGTCTTTTGTCCACTCTTGAATACCGTATAGGTACCTACTATACGTAGATATATAAATTATTTAAAAAAATTGCATAGGGTACATATCCTGGGTAGATATTCCAGTGTAGACAAGGCAGTGAAACGAACGTTTTTCTAAATGCTCTTTTAACAAATTCTCGTTTTCTTGATTTCGAAATAATATCGCATTCTCAATGTCTACAAAAAATATAACTAAATATGTTTTTTTGTGATACCAAGTGATGAAACGAACAAGTCAGGCACCTGGTGGTAAGCGCCACGCCTGTCCGTAGCTTAGACTCTTTTGAGACTTTAGACGTAGAGAGAGTACACTGCCATTGCACCCGTCACCCTGAGACATGAGCTGACAAGTCCCATGTGTGTAATTTCACCAAAATCTCTCTCTTAATCTTCGATATATAAATTGTTCTTCGATCTTTAATCTCTCAAATCTTATCAATACAAATGCCAGGTCGAAAGATCTTTTAGTATATATCCCGTTTATACCGGTTGTATATGTATATAACATAATCAAGAAAGATTTTTTTAACATTTACATTACTTCCAATACTGATAGTAATGAATAAGTATTATAATTTCTTATCAGTCTTACTACTATGGTATTCATAATATATTTTTTTGTGAAAATACTCCGCTACTTTGTTATAATTATTAATGTAAAAATTGACCACAAAGAAAAATTTCTTCGATCCGACGGGAAAAGACTGCCACACCAGGGCGACAAACACAGAAAAATTCCATTGACTCAATCGCTCAGTTTTTAGAGCAGTCGCTTTGATATAGCCCCTTTTTTTCTATATCTATGTATAGTCCTGACGCAGTTCGAGTCCTGTCAGATGGAAAGTATTTTTTTGTGTTCGATCTTTGTATTAATAATTATAACTTTAAATTAGTTGCCAAACCTGTTTTGATGAAATAATTAAATGTAAAGAAAGGCAGTTTCATAATAATGCCTACGTTGCCATATCTATCGCGTTTTTATACAGCTTCTCGTGCGACATCCCGATCTCTAATGCCCCGAATATTCGCTCCATATTAAGGGCTGAGTATCGACTTATGTATATCGTGAGATTAGATAGCACAATATAAAAGTATTCACGGACGACATCTGCCTTCTTTTCGAAATTTCTTTACTGTGATATTTTTTTCTATTGCATCGAGTCGCACATTACGTTTCATTTCGCGCGAGATTTTTGGCCGTAGGGCGTTTGAGACATTCATTCCATTTTAGGCAAGTTTTTTTACAACTTAATATTATTTTAACTTAATATGTTTTTTGAAAAAAGCCACACAATAACGTTATTTTAAAAAATTCGTACATTTTTGTTTTTGTAAAAACATTTTCGTCTTTCTGAAAATCATTTTATAAAGTGGAGCATCGATTTCGGATTCAAATTTATTTTACAATAAAAATTACAAAATCAATACGCAATTTCATTATTATGAGTACACATTGTTAGACGATCTTGTTATTAAACATAATAATAGAAAAATCTTAAGGTACTCTCTTCTTTAAAATTAAATCAAATGCACAAGTTCATAACGCTTTAAATACATTCATTGTCTCGGTGCACTAGCCACCGGGTCTCCCTATTCTAAGCTTAGCTTTGCTCGATGAAGAAACTTTACTCCAAGAACTTTACTTTACTCCTAGAATATTATGTTAATATACCACCTCCATTTTCCTAAGCAGATACTCTACATATGTAAATAAAAATGTTCCATCGTAAATCTTGCCTTTGTTGTTTTCCCTCATCGCTTACATTCAACGACTATTTTGGGTCTACACAAGAAACATAATTGAGTACCTGAATGGTTACATACATAAAACATTTTTCTTCGCCTTATATGTTACAACGACTTATATAACACTTCTTTATCGTATGCGTTGTTTTTTTAAAAATCCATTGAAAGTAACAAACAAATAAAGCTTCCTTTTGTGAGAAAAATAACTTTCTTTTAAGCAGAAACTCAACTTTGTTGAGCTATTTAGTCTTTCATTTTTAAAGGAAGCCATTTTTACCTTTTGATAGTCTTTGAAAGAAAACTGGTTTGAAATGACCGTCATAGGTTTTAAAAAAATATTTATTATGTGATAAATATAAACTTATGTATATAGTCTATTAAAATAAGTTATAAATAAATGCAAGATTATAATTAGGATATTATGCTATAAAGTCGTTATCTCGCGCCACATAGATTGATAAAGTTTAACGCAGACCAGGCGATATGTGAAATTAACAAACTTAGGAACCCGTCGCATTTTGCTGCTCTCAAGTTTTGGCCAGTAACCCTGGATAGCATATAAATTGTACTTTGTTATTGCGTCACATAAGCTTATTCGTTGATCATAGACACTTTTCCAGTTGCATCGTGGCAAATTTTATGAATATATTTTATAATTCCAATAATTGAAAGTACAGAACAATGTGTTCTATACACTTCGTTACTCCTACTCAGGAAATTTAAAATGCGTAAAGAGTAAATGAAAGGCGGTGTAAGGCTCAAGTTTTTAATTAAACTCGAGTGCAGAAACGGCAGCGAAATATTCCTATAGAGAACTAACTTAGTAGGTTCCTCAAACCAAGTCATAGCGAGAGCCAAGTGGGCAAAGAGTTCTCAAGTGGAGTGTTTTCTCAAACGAAGTTAGTTGCTGAGAGCGATGTAGTGCGGAGCCGCTCGGTGCGCCGCACCCCGTCGCGCATTTATTCAGCATATTGGATTTAGAGACTACCTACCTATTTCGGATTCAAACCTGCCTATTTCAGATTCAGAAGCTTCCCTCAGAAGCAGCCTCCATCGGCTGCCCGTAAAACTGCTTCATAAAGAGAATATAGCTGACTTTCTAAGGCATCGAACGCCAGAGGCGGAGCCCCGACTAGCCAGGTTGGCTAATAAAGTAAATCAGAGTTTGTTTTATGCGCTTATTATCGGCGAAGATCATAAAAAGAATTTATCACACAAATTCAGTCGATGTCAGACGATATTATTATCTGGCCAAAAGGCTCTAAAGCTCATATAATATAATTAGTCTGTAAAATCATTCCGAATTGAACAATAAGTCTAGTGCAGCATTGTTGTTTATATAACATCACTGAGCATTGCTATCATAATTTTCGTTTCTAATTGACGTTACGATGGCACATTCCGTTCGGGGCAGTGGGCGAACGTCAATAGATAAAGAGAATTTACCGCGGTCAGCGAACGCCACGTGATTTACAATATGCTTCACTTTCATCGTACTGTTTGCTTTGTTTATGGTCAGTATTCCACGCTCAAATTGCATTGTTATGTTTTAATCATGTTTTTACGTTGTTGCTTCAATACATGCCACCAATAGCTTATTTTATGACTATTGTACTTCCTTTACAGATAAAATATCATATTTGACTAGGTCCACAATTTCTGAATAAGTTTGCATTGGCTTTATAAATTCATTATTTTGTCATACTTATACACTGATGTGACATAAGATGATTTTCTATCGAAAGTTATCTGCTTCTACTTGAAAATACAATAATTTATTACCTGAAAGAAAAGTCTGCTCTGCCCCTTTTTTCCATTTCCAGTGGAGCAATATAATCAGTTATTGCGAGCTCGAGGTGAAACATTCTTCCGTAGCAACGTAACAGAAACACAAGCGGTAAAATTAAGTGTCACGTCAGACTTTGCTATTTCACGTTTGTGCCCGCCACTGTTGTTTTTCGAGCTCCATTATTGCCTGAAAAAAAGGTTACTGCAACAACGCTTGGGATTTTGCCCCGTTTAATTTCCTCTGAATGCAATTTTAGGCTAATGAAAGTAAAAAAGCAGCTCACAAAAGGTGCTAAAATAAATTCTAGGATTAAAGGATTGAGTTTGAGTGTACTTTTGCAGAAGTTTATTTATTTTACAAACAAATATTTTAACATTCTTAGACAAACGGGCAAGCTGTTTAGAGAACCCTATAGGAGAACATATGTTGAATTAAATACTGCTCTTTATTTTCATAATGTACTGGTATCTAAATGCTTCAAATTAAAATCTAAGCATTGCGTGTGTGTTTCTTATAAATTATGTACACTTACCAAGATATTTTATTCTATGCGCGTGCATAACCCAGAATCGTGCATTTTCAAATTAAATTTTATTTCCCACACAGTTGGGTGCATGTGGTACATACGAAGGTAATTTAATTAAAATGTGTCCGAGAAAACAGGATGTATTGAAAAATTAACGCTTATAATAACAACTTTGCTTCTACAAATTTAGTGAACACACTTTTCTATAATTTTACCCGACAGAGAACTATTGAATAATGTGCAATAAACGATAGCTAATAGAAAAGCAACTTAGGTACTTTACCATAATGATTGTGTAATTGATTTATTTATTTATTTAATAATTTATTGTACAGGAAATTACAACAAGTCACAATGGAAACAAGGAAAATTTAAACAGAAGGTTCTGCTTATTTCTAACAGAAATTTCTTCCTGCAGACCTAAATACAGGACACCATAACTAAAAGAACGGGCATACGTGCACAACAAAACAAAAAAAATGTAATATAAAAATAATGTAATAATATTAAATTGTTATAAATTATATAAAAACTTAGATAAATACATATTTTATAATATAACACCTTAGATATGGATGGAATAGTAGATAAATAACGCTCTTTAACTCTCACTTTAAAAATAGATAACGATTTATGTTCGTGAACAGTAATAGGAATTGCATTCCAAAGCCTGACCGCATGAACAGTGAAGGAGTGAGAATAGAAACCGGAATCGAAGCATGGAAAAGATAAGTAGGACCTAACAAGAGAGCGACAGGGTTTATCCTGGGACCTAAAAAGCTGAAACGCTCTTTCAGGTACCCGGGACGCAGGGTTATGTAAAATATTATAAAGAATAGACACAATATGCAAATTCCTGCGGAGATGGATGATTAACAATAATGTCCATAAAAAAGTATTCTCATTTTCTAAGGACTGTAGATAGATGTTCATAATCTTTATTCTATGATATACATTTACTATTATATAGGTTTTTACGCTGTAATAATGTGTCCGTTGAAGCGACGAGAAACTATGAAGGCAGTAAAGTAAAGACTTTTTAGGACCGGCCATAAATTCGATTTCCAAAGCAATTTGTACTCTTCGGCTTTTTGTTTTATTTCGTATTAACTTTATAGCTGAGTTTTACTCGAAATCTGTAAAGTTTGACTATATTTATCCTCTTTTCGTGTTAATTTCAGTTGCATTAAAATAGGCACTAACAAATTATCCAATAAGTAACAAACAATACCTACTAGTATTGATGTAGTTTATAGAAATTAAGATATAGATGTTATTTACACTGAAAAGTAAGGCGTCGAATGTGCTGCTACACTCTGTAGATAAAATAAAAGGGCAAAGGCCAAACATCCAGGAAAGATATAGCAGCCGCTTAGCACTTTAATTAAGGCCCCTCGACCCCTGCGGCCGCAAAAATCATAAATCGCTGAAATAAGGCACCAGCTGTATGAGTACATAGCCCACTATGTCAAGATTTCTCTAAATGGTCTTCGTTTGCATTAGTCCATTTGTAGTTTCAGTTGCCATTTCTATTTGTTCATCTGTTCTCTCCAAAAAGATTTGGGATTGTAACGTTTTATTTCATCAGAATTTATTTCGGTATAAAATGCTCAAATGAATCCATCAGGCGCTATTCGTATTGGAGGATATTAGTGAAATTCAGTATTTCATTTTCATTAGACTGCGCACAGACACTTTTATGTACGTAATCAAGTAATAAAATAAAATTTCGGCAGCAATGATCGCGAGCGTCCGCATCCCAATTGAATCAGTCACACCCTGTTCCCACATAGAACCAATTCCATTAATTCAAGTTTTGCATCAAAATTTATTCATACGAACAAAATTATCAAACGCCTTCGGAATTTTATTCAGTTTGGCGTATCTTATATACAATAATAGCCATTACTTTATTCATAATATAATTATTAGTATATTATAGTAAATAGTTGTCAATTTTATAAACGTTTACCTACTGTTTGCCAAAATTACATATTCATTTAATACCATGACCTGATGACGAAGAATCCGTTTCTATAGACAAAAAACTACGTTTGCTATTAAAAATGCCTCAAATACCCGTATGCATCTAAACGACATAAAAAATCCATTTAATCAATTAATTTTTAACCGACTTCAAAAAAAGAAGAGGTCCTCTATTCGACTGTATTTTTTCATTACTCCTGTGAACCGATTTTTAATGTTTTTTTGTTGGAAAGAGGCACCTCAGTACTGAACCCGTTAAAGTTTGAAGAAATACTCCACCTCTAAGGGTGGCAAACTAGGGATGAATCCGGTTTCACGCACTTTCCGGTAACCGATTGCAATAAAAGTTAGTAAATAGATGTAATTCCACGATCTTTTGAGGTCGGTTATAATTATGTAGGTAATGTAGGTATTGACGGCTTCGGTATATCAACGGTTTGCACTATGCGCACTGGATGAAGAGGTCCCGGGTTCCATTCCCGGTAGGATCAATATGTGAAATTAACTTTTCTATAGCTCTGGTTTGGATATTCTAGGACCTGCCCCTATAATAAATGTAGGCCATACAAATATTTCTCCCGGCCCGGGAATCGAACCTAGGAGCTCTGCGTGGCAGTCCGGCATGATCACCGTTCGGCCACCGTGGCAGTATTATTTAGATCTATTATACCTTCTCCGTGAATTAATATTTTGTGTACCGAAGATGGCATATACAGTACCAATCATATTTACTGATGTATAGTATTACAGTTTCCAAAGAATATTTTCCCAATTCCCAAATTTTTGGGAATCTGTCATTATGCCAGGCGATAAAGCTTGAAGGATTACATAGAGTCGCTTTATCAAAATATCAACAACTCCTTTAACTTCAGCAGAACAGGTTGCATTATAAAAAAAAACCGTCTCACAGTGTTACCGTCATTGGTTACCACCTCCTTGTCGTGGCTAATAAATTATTAATCCAAGCTCTTCTCGAAAGCGTCTTTGTACCATATTTTTCTTCTCTTGTTACATTTGCTTTTTTTCGTCACTCGTAGCTGACCATTTTTGAAACGAAAGGTTGTAAGAAATATGCAAAATCATCTCCACACAGCGAAACCAGGCGTGCGGTGTTGATGTCACAAATATTATATGTTGAACTTAATACCTGAGCTACTTTGCCGTCTATTATGTTCAAAAAAAGTTCATTTTTAACTTGAACGCCATTGCTTTCCTTAACAATCAACGATGGACTCCAAGATTTAATTTGATTCTGAATATCGTTAACAGCAGCTTTAGTTTTCTTAGAATGTTCTTTCGAAAACTCAGTTAAAATAAAATAACAGAATCTCACAGATGGAGGCACAGGATTTCGCCAAACAACAGTAGGTACCAGTCATTTCGTCGATTAATCTGTTGGGTACAACAGATTTGAAAAATATCAACTATTTTTTATATTTACGTAAGATGTGCTTTATAGACATATACAATAGCACATAGTTTATCTAACAAAATTAATACGAATTGCGACGTCGAAAGTTTCAAAATTATACGGCACAACGAGATAAGTAAGTGAAAGGATATTTTGGATGTATAACGCATACGGCGTAAGATGTATACGCATAACGCATAAGATGGCGGGCACAACTTTTCAAATAATGGCAAGTTGGGCATCGTTTTCGAGGTATTTGGGGGTGTTCATTACGAATATGGCTTTTATTTCTAAATACAAAGGTGGTGGGCACGATTTTTTGAATAATGGCAAGTTGGGTATCGATTTCGAGGTATATGGGGGTGCTCATTACGAATAAGGCACTTATTTTTAAATCCAAGATGACGGGCACGAATTTTCAAATAATGGCAAGTTAGGTATCGTTTTCGAGGTATTTGGGGGTGCTCTTTACGAATATGGCACTTACTTCTTAATCCAAGATGGCGGGCAAGACTTTTCAAATAATGGCAAGTTGGGTATCGTTAGAGGTATTTGGGGGTGCTCATTACGAATATAGCATTTATTTCTAAATCCAACATGGCCTTTCAAATAAATGCAATATGGGTGTCAAATACATTGTCTTGTATTAGATGTATCCAACACAAGACACGTTTGCGCGCAACCTTGAACGCCCGGCTGAACGCACCACCGTTCCGAATTTGCGGCCTTACCCTTCAAAACCGGAACACAGTAATGTGAGCATTACTGCTTAGCTGCAGAAATAGGTAAGGTGGCACTACTTCCCTGGACGAACTCTTTCAACTTCAACAAGACTACTATATTGACTTAGAATCCTATTTATTACATTTAATTTATTTTTTCAATAAACGCCCTATTATTGTATCCCCAGGCAGTACAATAACCATGACGTCACAAATAGCTTTATTGCTGAGTTGCCGAGTTGCAAACGCGTCTCACGTGTGTATTCTGAATTTTCACATAAGTGGCAGTATGGGCTTTTTTTAGTACGTAATGTTGGTTTTTGTCGCATTGTGGTCGTCTCATATATCTAACGACTTCCATAATAGGTTATAACAGTATGAAATAAACACAAAATGTTCTGAAGCAAGGCGAGGTTTTACGTTGAAGCTCCCAAGTTTCCATCTAGCTCCACAAAGGCAGACAAAATAATCTCCTTTGATGCTGAAAAAATAAACTGCACCCGCAAAACCTCCATGATTACAAGGAATTTTTAGGTTCTCT